ATGGAGGTTAGACCTTCCCAGTTTCAATTTTATAGAAAACATAAGAAAAAAAGGAAAAAGAAAAGTAAACAAAAAAGAGAAAAAACCCTACTATCAAAGCAATGCCCAAGAAGTTCTGCTTGCTTTTTCATTTTTTAAACACAGCTCTTCTCTTCCATTCTGTAGCATCTTTTCCAAATCCTGTGCGTCTTCAAAACTTTCAGGCTTTCAAGTCATCTATCCATTGTTCAGTCACCTGGGTGGGTGGCCTGGATAAGTTGAGGATGTGTTTTTCTCTGACTGCAGTTAGAATTGTTTGCCAAACCCTTGGCTGTTTCTGGTACTTTTACAAGTTGATGAGCTTGCAGGCAGGTGCCTGGGCTGGGATGCAGCATGGGCAGTTGACACCGGTGCTGTGTTTCTTTACCACAGGAGCAGGGCCATCCCTGGCCTGCAAAGTTCTAATGACAGAGAGGGCTCCAGCTCCCCACCAGGGCCAGTGGCTGAGCTCAGCTGAGAGTCAGGATAAAACCCTCTTTGTCACCTCTGGTGATGTGGGGAAAGGACAGAAAGCCACATAAATTATTTGTACACAAGGGGAGTGCATTGCCATTTCCGGCTTTGAAATTCTCCTTTGGGTTAAAGAGGATAATAGCAAAGTCTCTTTGGTCACCATCTATTTCAATGCCATGAGTACAGAGTTATCATGACAGTGGTGGGCATTTTTATGGAGACTCCAAGGCCTCTTGCCATTGTTCTTTTTGTCTATTTGAGACGGATTCTGCAAGTTGAGGTTTGAATAGTTCCAAGTCAGTGTCTTATGTTTCTAAATACCATCTTGCAAAAGCAGAATGAGCTCTCTCCCTCTGGCTTGTCAGCATGTTAGGGCTTGGTTCCACATGAACCACACTGGAAAATGGTCAGCCGATGTCTTGCCAATCCACACTGCAATTCCCTGGCCTGAGCAGTATCAGACAGACCTGCTGAGCTCCATGGACACTGTCAGTTGCATGGAAGTGAGCATCCTTGGCCTTGCGGAAGAAACTGGAGCTCAGCTTAGGTTAGATGCTCTTGAGCAGGAGAAAGGCTGGAATCATCAGGGGTTTCCAGAGCCCTGTGTGCCCAGAGGGACTGAGTTCTGGGGAGCAGCTGGATGTTTCTGCACATCATGGAAAGGGATTGCCAGACAGCTCAAGCCTCACCACAGGGAAACACTCCCCAGCTCTTCTCAGGCAACATTTGCTTTGGGTTTCAAGTTATTCCCACTTGTCTGTCTGTGATGATGACCCTAAAACCACAAAGCAAGCCTCTCAGAACTGGTGTTACATTTGCAGAAATGAAGAAAAGAATCCCAAACACAAGAAAGTTGCTAAGTCACTAGTTTTTAGAGAGGAACTTAACCCCCTGTGCAGTTTCTTCTCACTGGGAAACATGCCTGAAACCTGGGCATGAGGGTGTAAAGGCCACAAAGTCTCTTCTGCTTCTTGTGCAGTGCTGCTGAAACACTCAGTGACCNGACTAGGTGCTTTTTTCCTGAAACACTATGCGTGACAGGTTTTATATCTGGGCTATTACTAAACTGCACATTTTGCTTGCTGCCCATCTAAGACATCTCCTTTTTTGCAGCTGTGCCTTTCTCCTTTAGACTGCACAGATGGCAAACAATGCACAGCCAAGAGGGAATGTCTATTCCTTTATTTTGTCTTTGTCTCAAAGGGACCTGTAAGGAAGAATCAACCCATCTTTTCCAAACAGCAACCTAGCCATGTACATTTATCTCCACGCCCTTGTTTCCTCCTTTCAGCTACCTTGTGGGTGAGGAATTGTCCCTGGTTATGGAGTATATGGATGGGGGCACTCTGAGCAATGTCATCAGCAATACCTACTTGTCAGAAGATGAGATGGCAGCCATCAGTCGGGAGGTCAGCAATGCCATCTGTGTTTCCAAGGGCTTGGGCAGCATTGTCTGGGAAACAGGGCTCAGAGCTGGAGTGATTTCCTGTGCCAAGCTTTGTTTCTGTGTTGCTGGTATGCTATGGGCAAGTAAAAGCATCTCAAGTGAAAGGCCTGCCAGTGCCCCTGCACTCCCTGTACTCAGTGCCAGTACTCTTATCTCCTGCTGTCGTATTCTCGCTCTGTCTCTTTTATTTGTATTTGTATTTGCTGTTCTCCACCTTGCCTCTCTAAATGTTTGCCTGGAGTCTGTCTTCACTGCATTCCTTGCCTGTAAAAGCAAAGGTGCTGGTGGCAGGATTTGAAATGACCAGCAAAGAAAAAAGACTCATTTCTCACAGTCCTCAGCTGAAAAGGATAGAAGTGCAGCCAAAATGCTCTTTGCTTATGGAAAGTGACTGGTGTGATACTTCCAAGCCTGTGCTGAGGCCAGCAAGAAAATCTTTGTCATGCAGCCTCCCACCCAAAAGTGATCCACTTCACAATAAAGGGAGGGATTTCTCCTTTCAGAACCCCTCCTTTGTCCTCTGCATGGCAAAAGCACGTCCACTGCAGCAGGAGTCATCCTGGCTGGTTGGCAGGGGACAGCCTACA